GCCACTCACTAGATCAGGCTGACCAACCCCAGCCAACCTGGCCTTGAACACCTGCACAGACAGGGCATCCACTGCTTCTCTGGACAGCCTCTCCTAGTACCTCACCACTTTGAATAAAGAATTTTCTCTTAATATCTAATCTAAACTTCTCCTCCTTCAGTTTAATACCATTCCCCCTATCCTATTGCTACCTGTTCATGCTAGAAGTCAATCTTCCTCCTGTTGATAAGCCCCCTTTAAGTAGTAGAAGGCCACATTAAGTTAGACCAGAGCTTTCTGTTCTCCAGGTGGAAAAAGCCCACCTCCTTCAACCTCCTACTGTAGGCTCCAGCCCTCTGAAATCACACAGACACACTCTACACTTCAGAAATTTTTCAGAGATTTCTGAAAAATCCTCATTCCAGAAAACAAATGAAAAAAATAGAATTCTATAGAGGAAAAATTCAGCACTCTTACAATGCAAATGAACAAAATAGAATCCTATAGAGGAAGAATTCAGTACTCTTACAATAACAGCAATCACAAATGAACTAGACAAAACATAGTGAAACGTGATCCTAAATACACGATATCTTCACAGCTGTACTTTTAATCCTTATTTCAAGTGAAATCACACATAACATCAGCTACCCCTATGAAACAGTGAAACTGCTTCAAACAAAACATTTTCATAACATCAGGCAACACATTGTTAGGAAGACAAATAGACATATAAAGAAAAAAGTTGACTTACCCCACTAGCAGCAAGGATCTCCAGCCACAGAATGCTCTTAACAAAGTGACCTCCAGCCAGATAATCTCCTCTCAGAGGCTAACTCTTAAATGACTCTGGTTGGGGGTGGACCCATTCCACTGCCTGCACTCAGGTGGGAAGCACAGGTTAATTGTTTGCACCTGTACTTCCTGGGCCAGCCACACCCCTATACCGGGTGTCCAATCGTCAGTTCAGGCCACAGCCTAATAGTTTTCCCTACAAATGTTTTCCACAAGGTCTAAAAAAAATGATTACGTGTTCAGGATTCTCTGTTAATAGGTGCTGTATGTGAACTGTAGAGTCACAGCCTGAATCACTGATTGATCATCTGAGGCAAGGACTCAGTCAGCCATGGGAGCACAGGTGAAGGCAATTCAGCCTGGCTCCACCCCTCCTAGACCCCATTTAAGGGCTGACTGGCCCTAGAGAAGGGCTTCTTTCCAGAGGTTCCTCCTTTTTGGAGTTTTCTACTGTAAGCCTAGAATATAGGTGAACATTTCTTCTTTGGCTGGTTTGTTTGTTTGTTGGTTTTTAACTGATAATCTTTCCAACTATAATGCCTGTAAAGTGTAATCCTAATTGTGCTGCTCCTTCAACTGCACAGGTGCTTACTCGGATATTTTTGAATAAGCTGAAAGACTGCTGCTATTTGACTACTAACATTAGATCTGTTTTAGGAACCTGCTGAGTGTAGTTAAATGTCCTTCAAGTGTTATGCTCTTGTGCAATCAGATCTTCTACTTCTTAGAAGATGAAAAGCACTACTTCAATAATAAGAATTCTTCCAAAATTCTGAAGAAGAGGCAGTGATTGTTGTTTGTTTTTCCCTTGACCTGCCTGTGTTTATTGTTAGTTAAAACAGTATAAAATAGTAACTTTCAGTATTTCATTTAAATTGTGAGTCTCCCAAAGCATTGTTAAGAAAGTGGAATTTAACTTATGGTCATACTGGGCAGCCTTCAGTCCAATTTCTCACTTAAGCATCAGAAAGGCTAACTATTAAAAGCATCTTCATTTTACTTTATATTTGTGTTGAAATTTGAAGGAACAAATAGGAAAAGTATAAACAACTTGCTGCTCGTATACAGAATGTTTTCTGGGGAGTGCCTTAGTTCATAGGAACTTTAAGTTACTACTGGATAGCTGAAATCAAGATCATAGCTGAGGAACAGTGACAACCATTCTAAACTTGTTGTAACTGCAGAATGAATGCATGGATGTACCTCACCACGATGGATTTACATATCACTTGTGCAGAGCAAAAGCCTGCAACTGCTGAGTTATAGTATGTGTATGGGAACTGCTGAGTCATGGCCTGAACCTCTGATTGATCACCTGAGGTGAGCCATGAGCCAGCCAGAGGAGCACAGGTGAAGGCAATTCACTGTGCTGCCAGAAGGGGTGAAGCCAGGATGCACCCCTTCTAGACCTATTGAAGAGCTGGCTACCAGTGGAGAAGGATCTCTTCTGGAGATTGCCTCTGCTGGTGTTTTGTGGGTGAGCCCAGGATAAGGGTAAGCCTTCAATTTATTCTCTTTTTTTTATCTTAGTCTATTTCACCTAACTCTTTTGTTTATTTTGTGATTATAATATCTTAATATCCATTGATTATACAGTATGTTAATTACAAACAAGAAGTAACTTGCTAAACTACAGAAACCTAACCAAATATCAAATAATGCAGTAGAAAAGAAAGCATTTCAAAATATTTAAATTCTATCCTTATTGAAAAAAATTTCATTAACCCTTATCTTTTCTCAGAAGGGTTTATAGATGTGTTGGCACTCATTCCTGATGCACTTGCAAATTTAGTGTTCTTTCTATTGTTCTAGACTCTTACTTCCTATTAATCACTGTCAGGCCCTTAAATTACACTAATATGTTTTGACTGACTTGACCAGCCTCACCTGGAACCTTTATCCCACCACCTCTGATGGTTGTGGTGATGTGTAGGAGGACATACAATAGGTAGGAGAAGCTTTGCTTAAAGCTGTGGCTCTAAGTTAAGGGAGAAGTGAGACGGTTTCCCTCTTAGTTTTGTTTTTGAGTTGCTGTTTAGGTTTCCCAGTTTAACCTTGGAGATATCTTGTTACCTTATTTTCACCAATGGCTACTAAAGTGCTGACTGGACTTGTTGTAGCTGCTCTGGTTACCTTTCTCTGGAGCACCTGGGCTGCACCCTGTCGGGGAGGTTTTTGCCTAGCTTGTGTTGCATCTCTACTTAGCATCTGGCTTCCTTTGCCTGGGAGAGAGCATAAAGAGCAGCATGAGGCTGGTGGCTGTCACTAAGGCCCTGAGCACTCAGGACTGATATTGTTTTGCTTAACAACGTGTTTCTCAAGATAAAGTACCCTTTTCCTGTGTCTACCATTAGTACCATTTGCTTTAATCAAAAAGTAAATTTTAATGTAGCTTATTATGCTAAATGGAAACAACAGGGGGCTAATGAGCATTGTGAATGAGCCATTAACTTGGCAATCAGGTATCCTGAGGATTGGCTTGATCTTCTCTACATCCTTCTTGGAATGCTCAGCAATGCATACAGCTGTGACTGCATATATTAAACTTAATTCAGGGAATAAATAGATTTAGATATCTAACTTGAGTAGCTTTCTCTTCATAGGACTATATGCTGTGTTACACTTAAGAAAGCTGCTGGTTCCCTTTATGCAAGAGGATAACAGGAGTTATGTTTTAACACATTTTATGTTTGTTTTGTTGTATGTTTTGTTGTTTTCCTTCATTTGTGTGGAAAATAAGCATTTTCTCTCTTCACAACAGGATTTCATCAAAAAGGAAAATGTACCTGAGGTAATAAATCTACTATTGACTTCATCTTCACAACTGACTTAAAGCAGCTTAGCAATGAACAGTATGTTTTCCAAAAAAGGCTTCCATCTCCCTTCTCAGCTCCTTCTTGATTTCCTATTGCTGGCTCCTGGAATCACAGCCCAGAGGGAGCTGATATGCACTTGTTCAAGGGAGCACTTTCATCAGACTTCTTAAGAAGGCAGTAAGATCAGCCTGAAACATCAACAGAAAGAGGTGCACTTAGAGAAAAGGCAATAAGGAGTAAGAAAACCTACCTGTATTCAGATACCAATCATACATATTTCAAAAGGCCATTTTTAATGGGAAATAAGAGGGAAAAATAAATTAAATATAAGAATTTGATGCTTTTTAAAATGACTTAATTCTATGAGCATCGATCTAATCAGGGAGATAAGCTGCTAAATGCAACCTTGCAGATGCATAAAGATGAACACCTCCTCAAGGTGCTACCACTGGTCAGTGGCAAAGAGAGAAAAAGAAGTCGGGAGATTAGAACTCCTAGCCCTGATTTCCCTTTGTTTTCTCCTGAGCTGCAATCAGAACGTGTTATGCATTTTTATCTCCTCTGTCTATGACAGTATCTGATTTTTTTAAGAGGGGAGGGTCTGGGCACAGTACATAGCCAAAATTATTAAAAATCTTTATGCTGAGGAGACCAGTTCAGCAAAAGCCCACTGACATGAGCTCGTGACCTTAAGCAAATGTCAGTGGATGCTGGTGATTCCTTAGTTTCCTATTTTCTGTGTATGTCTTAGTCTACCTCACTTAGCTCGTGTTTTCTTCACTAACAACAAGCTCAGAGACTGTTTCCCTGAGAGCATTTCACTCTGTTAGCTTTCCAGTGTCTGATACCCAAGACTCCCCATGGTGCTTCAGCTCTCCAGCTGGGAAAGCATTCATCCTGTCACTGAAGTCCCTGCTGTGAGGCTCCAGACCTCACTTACACCGGTGTGCAGCAGCATCTGTGTGTTAGTGCTCTCAGCAAATTCAATTCTGAGAGTTGAACTCCTGGAGAAGGGGCAGTGGCATCTACAAAGGCAGCAATTCTCGAAGCAAGTCAGTGTCACAGGAGGGATGGGATAAACCCGGGGATCCCCTCCTGGCCCGGATCAGTTACAGCCATTAAAGAACGGGCAGCTGTGATGTGGGAGGGGCAGGTTGTGAGCGGTCCCACAGCTGGTTACCGCGGACCCCAAGTAATAAAATAACACGTGAAAAGTTCATAGAGCGGAATCCCTTTTTCAATGTACTTTTTTTTTCCTCTGTGAAAATCCGCACCTGCACTGCTCCTTCCCCCGCGCGGGACCGAGCGGAGCGCAGCGGGCGGAGCTGGAAAGCGGGAGCCGCCCCTCAGCCGGCCGCCATTTTGGGAAGCGCCGGAACGGGCCTGGAGCGCCCTCTGGCGCCCGTCTGCCCGCAGCCGAGGCGCAGCTCGACCGCCGGCGGAGCATGCTGTCGCCGGCCATGAAGTCCGTCTTCGTCACCGTGGGCACTACCAGTTTCGACGAGCTGATCGCGGCCGTTTCCTCCCCTGCGGCCGAGGAGGTGAGGAGGCGGAACGGCAGGAGGAGGAGAAGGAGGGTCCCAGCCCGCCCCTCACGGCCGTGCTTGAGCCGCGCGCCTGCGCGGGGCGGCTGTGGGGGAGAAGCGCGAAGCCGCGCGGAGGGCGGGAGATGGGAGTCGTTCCGCAGGGAACGGGAGGCGCTGGCAGTCCTGGGCCGTGGCCTATCCCCTGCTTCCGTTCCTCCGCCGCAGGTGCTGCGGAGCCGCGGCTGCCGACAGCTGGTGCTGCAGATCGGGCGGGGCGCGCTGGAGCCCGCCCCTCAGCACGGCCCGGCCTTCGTGCGGGAAGTGTTCCGCTTCAAGGAGTCGCTGGCTGAAGACCTGCGGAGCGCCGACCTGGTCATAAGCCACGCAGGTGGGGCCCGGCGGGTAGCCGAGGTGTGCTGCTCCTGGGGGCGGGCGGGGAGGTTGGTGGTGGCCCGCGCTGTGAGACACCGGGCTGAGCTGGCATTGGATGCTCGTGTCCGCAGCGGAAAGTTGTGGGGATAAAATGTTCACGTTCAGGAGTCTCTGATGCTTCAGGAGCGAGTAGGGCGATGTTTCAATCAGCTGCAAACGCTGATTGCTTTCTGCTTCTCCTGCAGGTGCAGGTAGCTGTTTGGAGACTCTAGAGGAAGGAAAGCCGCTGCTTGTGGTGATAAATGAGAAGCTGATGGACAATCATCAGCTGGAGCTGGCACGTCAGCTCCACAAAGATGGACACGTCCTCTATTGTAACTGCAGGTATGGAGCTGCTGTGGCTGTCCAACCCAATGCAGTGCTCAGGGGCATAACTGTTATTACAGTATTGAGAATGTAGCAAGAAAACTTACATCTTTCTCTGTAACAAAATCACACTAACCGTGTACCTCAGTAAGTTTCCTCACTGGGCGCAGATCTCAGGGGTGCTTGTCTTTCATTTATTTGCAGGGTGGATTTTCCATAGACAGAGTCCTGTACAGGTTAGGGGGGACCTGCTGGCAAAGTGATCTGGGGAGAAGGACCTGGGGATCCTAGTTGATAAGAGGTTGGCTGTAAGCCAGCAGTGTGCCCTTGTGACCAACAGTATCCTGGGGTCAGATCATGAAGGGTACGTCCAGCAGGTCAGTGGAGGTGATTCTACCCCTTTTACTCCGCCCTGGTGAGGCCACATATAGAACTGTGTCCAGTTCTGAGCCCCCCTGTTCAAAAAAGAGTCCAGCAGAGGACCACAAAGATGATGAGGGGCCTGGAGCATCTCCTGTATGAGGAAAGGCTGAGAGACCTGGGGTTGTTCAGTCTGGAGAAGAGAAGGCTGAGAGGGGATCTTAACACTGTTTATAAATATCTGAAGTGTGGGAGTCAAGTTGATAGGGAGCAGACTCTATTTGGTGGTGAGCAACAATAGAACAAGGAACAACACAGAAACTGGAACACAGGAAGTTCCATAAAAACATGAGAAAGAACTCTATTGTAAGAATGATGGAGCACTGGAACAGACTGCACAGAGAGGTGGTGGAAATTTTCAGGACCTGCCAAGTTGCCTTTTTGTGTAACCTATTGTAGGGAACCTGCTTTAGCAGAGGGGTTGGACTTCATGATGTCCAGAGGTCCCTTTTAACCCTTGCAATTATGTGATTTTGTTAACTCATTTTATCTGTCCTTTCTTTCCTGTTTAATACTTTTTTCAATCCTGCAACTACTACAACCAACAGTTGAAAACCACAAGCTACAAGGAGTAGCCTGCTCCCTACAGACTTAGTACTCAATTTAATTGTATTGTCATGTAGACTTCTCTTCTGAAGTGCGCTGAAGTTGACTGCATAAGAAAAAATGAAAATATCTGGAGTATTTAGGAAAAAAAATAACATAAGAATGGCCTTTACTGATATGGATCAGGAGTCCATGAAGCTCAGTATCCTATCTGCAGTGGCCATGTATAGGACAAGAACGAAAAGCATTTCCTTCTATTACGTTCCCACTAACACTTGAGTAGTTTGATTCAGGAATGACCTAAGCCAGGTGCTGTAGGGTTAGTAGCTTCAAATACGCCTGTCTTCCACATACTTAGCAAGTTGTCCTTTTAACCAAATTTTGTCCATCCACCACATCACATCATTTGACAGGGAATTTCACTGGCTTGCTATCTTCACTTAAGGAAAAAAAAAAAAAAAGAAAAGTGCAGCTCCTTTTGTTTGTATTCATCCTGGCTTCTATTAGTTTCATTTGCTATCTTGGTTTTGACCATATCTGGCTGTTTTCCCTTTATTTATGATTGTTTATGATCCGTTGCACTCTATAAACAACAAATGGCCTTTTAACTGAAAGCAGAGAAAATGCAATTCCTGTTATTTATTCTGCATCTCGTTCTTTTGCCCTGCAAATAGGATTTCGCGTGTTTCAGAAGAGCTATAACCAAAGGTCTGTAACTTGGGAACAGAAAGGCATTTTTATTTCAGTTTTGAACAGTGCTTAGCATTTGAACTTATTTGCAGTCTGATAATTGAAAGCTAACAGATTGATTCAGCTGTTATCTCTGGCAGTGTTGAGTGGAGGACTAATGCCATGTATTCACATGGGATGAATTCACCATAAACCATACTGGGAGATTCTCAGGCTTTATTCAGTCTACCATCATTGCAGCCATGGAAGACTAAAAAGTCAGAGCTGAGTGGCCCATGAAAGCTGTGCCTTATGTTGATGTGTGTTCTGCAAGTGATGGCTGGGGCTCACTAAATTATGCAGTCTTTTTTCATTTCAGCTTAAGTCCTTATTTTTAGTTTTATAGTAGTTTGAAAGAACATGTTTCAGTGTTAAAGTAGTATGAAAGAAAGAAAATGAGGGGCAGTGAGGGAAATCTCCTTTGGAATGAACTTTTTGTTTGTTTGTTTGTTTCATTTGTTTTTACAGCACACTTGTGGAGACACTGCAGTCAATGGACTTGTCAACTTTGAAACCTTTTCCTCCTGGACAACCAGAAAAGTTTGCTTTGTTTTTGGATAAAGTTGCTGGGTTTGAATAAACAATTTTGAGGAATAAAAAGACCATAATAAAACCATTCTCATCTCTCAGTGAGACCTTCCATGCTTAAAGATTCCACCAGCTGGGACAAATTCAAAGAAAATGCCTGTTAATATCAACTGATGGTTTCCAGTTCAGTTCCAGTTCAAAGTAATCTATATTAATGCTTAAAAGAGCACATGCCAAAAAGGAGGGGAGAGTATGAACTCCAAGTTGACTGACCTGGTAGAAGAAGAAGCATATTTGGACTTCTGGATTAGTTTATTTATTTGTTAATATAAACACATCCATTCTAGAGGAGTTGCTGGTCAGGCAATTAAGAGATGTCCTAGAGGAAATGAAGAGTGAAATACCTGACCTAAGTTTGCACCAATGAAAAACGTGAAATAATGTTTCATTCAGCTGAGCCCTGTGAATGTAGATCCTGATGATGCAAGTCATGAATACTGGACAGGACATGTAGCATCCAGTCTCATTTGCTTTTGCTACTGTTAAAGCTAAAGCTAGATCAGAGCATGGTTTAGAGAAAGGAATCATCCTTTGCTTCTTCCTTTTGCAAGTTGAATTTTTTGTTTTCATTGTTTGCCTTGAAGGGGTAATTCACAATTTAGAATTTTACTGCAGAAGGATCAGCTTTTGTAAAATCTTCCTGCAAGCAATTCTGTGCACAGCAGTAGTGTTACCAGAGCATTCAGTTTCACTCTAAGGACAGTAATCTTGGACAAATGTTAATATTTGTATAGACAGTGCTAGGCATTTGTGAATGGTCAGGTTTGATCTTCTCCCAGTTTAGTTGGGTTACTTTGAATGTGCAACAAGTATGTGAAAGAAACAATGCAGAAGTTTATTTTGCAGGATTAAGGGGCATTTCTTTCATAACCACAATGTTTTTAATAAACAGTGTCTGCAACAGAATGTGTATGTCTTCTGTGACTAGTTCACAAACTAAATTCTGTGAAAATAATGTATTTCTGTGAGAATAACTCACTAAAAAAGCACACAAAACTAATTCATAAATACAACTTATTCTCGATTTTATACACATGCTTTAGTGATATTTCGGTACTGAAAAATACAGCTTTTTTCTTCTTTCTGTTCACTTTATGAACAAGATTTAATAACTTGTCTAAGCCAGTCTTGTGTGCCAGTGCTTGCTCAGTCAGGAGACCGGGTGTCTCCATGGGCCAGCAGTTATGTGCGTCGCCAAAACCTCGGTAATGCCTCTACGGAGAGCAAGCTAAATTGTTTCTTAGCAGAGAGTCTGCACTAGCGGTGTATCGGCTCTCGTTGCCTAGTGCTAATGGCTGTGCCCTCCTGCTGGGTTCTGCGGATGCCTTGTTGATGCTCTTATTTCACGTGGTTACACTGGGAGTGGAAAGAGAACTTAAGTGAAAGATGTAAGGGGAACGTGCTGAGCTGAGAGGCCGGGGCGTGGGTAATTAACTGCTGCCTTCTGAGTAAATCGTGGCGATGGGAGGAGGAGAATGGGGCTGAAAGGGCGCGTTATCGCATCTTTAGCTGTTTGGCTGCGGTGAGGGAAACGCCTTGGTTGCTCGATGCTGACTGGAGCTTCCTATTTAATGTAAGGAAATTCAACTGTTTTGCTGCCATCGATGTATCTAGGTAATGACTTTTAAAAGTAAAGAGGGTTTGAACTTCACAACGTCCGTGCGGGCTACTCGGTGTGCAGGGCGAGAGAACTGCGCGTGTACGCGGTGCTGGCGGCCCGTCTTAGCAGTACCTTGTTTGGTGGTTTTCTTGCTACGCTTAAGACGGGCGAAACAAACTCCTGAACCGGCGCTTCTCATGCCCGAGCGCAGCTTCTAGTCGCAATTACGAGCAGGTATAGGCGTTTCCCTAACGAGCTCCGCCGTGCAACCCCAGCAGGGGGCGGGCGGCAGCAGCGGCCCCCGCACGGAGCCGGGCACGAGATCCCCGCGCTCGAGGCGGGCCCGACAGCGGGAGCGGCCGCACCTGGGCGCGCCGAGCGTCGACCCTCATTGGCGGCCGTCGCCGCCCTCCCCAGTGCTATGCGAGGAGCCTCGGCCCCGCCGCCTTCCCGGCACGATGCAGAAGGGCTGGAAGAAGTACTTCGGGCAGAAGTCGCTCAGCGAGGTGACTATGGACGAGTACCTGGGCAGTCTCGGCCTGTACCGCAAGCTGACGGCCAAGGACGCCTCCTGCCTCTTCAGAGCCATCTCGGAGCAGGTGGGGCCCTCGGCGGGCCGGGGTCGGCTGGGGGGTGGAGGGGGGATGCGCCCCGGGCGGGAGCGCGTGTGGGGCCGCCCGTCCGTAGGTGCGGTGCCTGGCGCTGCCGGCCCTGGGAGCGGCGAGACAGTTTGCTCGGCGGCTTTCTCCTTCGTTCTCACGGAACGTTGTTTTTCAGCTGTTTTTGTGCCAAATTCATCACATGGAGGTGAGGAAAGCTTGCGTCTCGTTTATGAGGCAAAATCAGCGTAACTTTGAATCCGTAAGTACTAGTTGTTTGTTTGTTTGTGCGCTTCAGCGAACGTACATTGGAAATAGCGGGGCGGCTGGCCGTGAGCACCTCCGTGTACACGTGCTGCCTTCAGCCCGGTGTGGCTGGGAGGTGTTCCGTGTCGCCTCGTGGTGCTGGAGCTCCTGAAATCATAAAGCTGCTGATATGAACTGGGTGGCCAGAGGTTACTCGTGTAGGACGTCATCTGTGGCACAAGCAGCGTAGAACTGTTGATGTGAGAAACCCGTAGAGCTGTTACGATCCTAACAGCGTTGAGATGCTTCTGCTATTTGCTAGTCGCAGACAGGAGTTACCTACAGAGGACCCACAAATGTCAGCAGCAGATAGCTTGCAGTCCCGGTTGTGTTCTGGGCTGGTACAGGGTTCCAGGTTTCTCTTGAAAACACAAGCCGCGGGCGAAGTTCTATGGTCCTCTGCAGAATAGCTTTGTTTTTATGATTCTCAGAATTTTAATAGCAACTTCTCTAACGTGCCAACTTCTCTAACGTTTTGTACCTTGCTTACTTGCAGCCACCCTTCGGCTAGGGAGGCACTTGCCTGCAGCTGAGGCTGAGACGTTTTAATTAATGATGCCAGAATTCAGGTGCTGAGAAACGAAAACAGAACAGCTGAGATATGTTTTCTCGGGTTGTGCAGTTTTAGGGCCACGGGTTTTTTTTCTTTCCCTGCAGTCAGTTTAAGTGCTTAATCTAGGAGGGAAATGAATTGCTGAGTCTTTTTCAGACTTATGTTCTTAAGCTTCTGAGGACCTCTTGGTATCTCTCTATCCTGATACACCCGAATCGTCCTCGTGCCCTGAGACAGGGAACAGCTGAAGTAATTCCCCAGGCAGACCAGAGCCTGAAGTGATACGGCTTGAGAGACCAGTGCTGTGTTTGCTCTGTGCATACCCCTGCTCTCTCAGCCAGCAGTGGATGTCCTGTTCAACAGCCAGTAATGATGTTTCTTTGACACAATGTTTAGTTTTAAACGTTTTTGTTTGTTTAATTTGGCTAAGTTCTTATTTTCTTTTTTGTTTTTTCTTGAAAGTATGTGGAGGGATCGTTTGAGAAATACCTTGAACGACTGGGAGATCCAAAGGTAAGAACGATCTAGCACTTGTGTAGATATTAAATTCTGAGATGACCAGAACAGGGAAGTAGTTGGATAATGTTTTCAATACCGTTTGTTTTTTTTCACTAGATAGACCTCAGTCCTGGGGTTTCATTTCCATAGGGAATATTATGTTTTTGTAATGAGTATTTATATGCATATGTGTGTGTGTTTAGTGGTGAATTTGGGTGCAAAGAAGCTATCTGTGCAGAGTGGAAAATAAAGCTGAGGCATGTTTGTAGGCCTTATTTGTAGCTGCAATTGCCTTTTTTAAAAAAAGGAAAATATGGGCTCTATACCATATCATATGTGTTTACTGGACTCTGCAGCTCCTTTTTTCTTCCTTAGCCTCAGCCTTGAAGTGTACAGTTCTAATTCTTGTTTCTTTATACTCTTAAGCTAGAAAGTATGGTAAACACTGCAGTCTCTGAAACAGTGCTTTTTTTTTTTAAAAAAAATTCAATTGAAAAAAACCTAAAAACCCCACAATTCTTGAGTGCTGTATTTAAGGGTGGCTGCCAGAACTAGCATTATCTTTAGCCATCAGTTTGGTAACCATGGCCATTCCACACTGGAGAAATACATTTTTTTTCCTGGGTATCCCAATGTCTCAACTCTCAGTTCATTGTTTATTTGCTTTATCTAACTGAATTTATCTGAATAAACTTAACTAAATTTTATCGTTGTTTCAATACTATGGAGAGCTAGTATAGAGTTCCTAGTGTTGAAGATGGCTCTTCTACCTCTTGTAATCTCCTAATCCCACATAGGAAAGTGCTGGCCAGCTGGAAATAAGTGCTTTATCAGTGATCTACAAGTAAGTCTTTCTCTCTTTTTTTTTTTTCTTCTTTTTTTTTTTTTTTTT